ATGTTAGCAGGTATTACTGGGTTTTGGTGCAGTGGGAAAGGGGTTTTACTTTTTGGGTTTCTGGGTTTGAGAGAGAGCAGCTCATGTTCACAAATACTGAACTTTTGCGGGCCATGGAAATAAGATTTTGGAATTCTTTTTCTTTTAGTTTCGAGAGTTTTTAAGGGTCAAAGATCAGTTTTTTTTGCATATCCTTTGTAGCTGTACAAGTAGTTTTAAAAGGCCTAATTTGAATGGCATTCTTAATTTAGGTGGTGTTCCCCTTTAAGGTAGGGTTTAGTGGTATCTAACGATGACTGCAATCAAATGAAACTTCTTGTGCCAAGCGTGTGGGGGAACTACAGTGGCTGACCAAAAAACGCCATCGGTCTGATCTAGAGCCACCATTTGGTTTGTCTGATATGGGCCACTGTAGAAACAACATGGTGGAGTCTGTGGTAGAGGACCCGCTCCCTATGAAGATATGACCAGCTCATTCTAAGGTAACAAAATCAAAACGATTTTTATTCTCAGGTGATTATAAACTCATAAAAATATAGTTATAAATATATTCCGTTTCCGCCACAAATTCCTCCTTAACCCTGTACACTGGACCTTTAAATTAATTGAGGTCGTCTTGACCACAGTTCTGGCTGCTGAGAGCCCAGCAACTATTTTGACTGCCAAATACCGGAAAGCAACCTAAAAAAGACCTGTTTCCAGCTGTGAATAGCTTTTTTAAAAATGGCCTCATATCCAAAATCAAACCACACAGTGATATTTTCTCACAGAAAAGCAGGAGAAATGAAACAAATCCAGCATAAATTAAATGTTAAATGAGCCAAGGAAGTGTTGAATCTGGGCTCCAGGCGCAGAAAGCTGAGTCCAAAGACTTCCACCCTTTCAGTTTTCCTTTTTCTTCCGCCAGTGGTTCTTCACTGTCTGCTGACCACAGCGCACTGCGTTTCGCTGATGTCTGCTGATGAGGTTAGCTAAACTCCCAGCTCAGGAGGAAGTTGAAGGCCAGAAACAAGCTGTTAAACTGGATGGATTTCATAAATCATGCACAGACCAAAACTCATCTGCTTTAGATGAGAATGAAACGCTCAGTTTTATATTCCAGCTGTGGCTAGTGCAGATGTTTATGATGGGTAGCGAGTTGTGTGATGAAAATGAAAAAAGATGGAGGGAGATGCTGAGAATGGTTCTGACTATGTTTCAAAGTGGACTCCCAGCGGTGTTCAGAAAGTCTTGGATCCTGTGGTCGCTCCGTAATTAATATCAGTTACAGACACAAGATCTGAGATTATTTATAGAGCAATGTTCAGGCACAGCCCGTCCTCATCGGGTCTACAGGGATCACAGTAATGATGTGAATGCCTTCTATCTACTTCCACAAGCATCCACATCTTCAACAAAAGCTTTGTTTTTAGAACACTGACTAAAAGGCAAATTACATGTGATAAACAATACTGTGTCGGTTACAACAGAACAGCCAGAGGACACAAACACACCCCTGCAGTGTCCATCTGCTGACAAAACAATGCTATTAGAGAAATAATAGCTTAACAGGATTATCTGCTGATTATCGTGCGGACAGTTCACAAAAAAACAGAACAATTCTGAGGCTTTTAGAAATGTAAAAGAGGCACAGACGACTGCACATGAACAAAATAAACATGTATAGGTGATGCCCTTTCATATTCTGTGACAAACAAACTTTCTAACCTCTGTCTGTGCTGCTGGTGCACTTGTGGACACCTTTAAAAGGCAATTCATTAAGAAATGTACTGCCCTGGTGCAGTAAACAGGTAAAATACACTTGTAGTCCTCTCTCCCATGCACTCTCTAACACTAGCAGATGCCTGGCCGGTCCTGCCAGAGCTGCATTCTGCTGCTGCTGCTGACTGCTCTGAAAACGTCCAGAGGCTGTGCCTTGCAGGACAGCAGTGCAGAGAGATCCAGTGTCTGCCAGCAGGGATTAACACTGTCAGATGATCAGCTGTGGCATACCGGGCAGCTTTGTAAAGTTTAACAAAATACCTCTGCCCCTGAGGTTCATATAGTACACCACATTGGACAACTCATTACCATATATATTTTTACTTTTAGTAGTATATTTAAATAAATAAGAGTGTAGTAGTGTAATAACTTCCCCCATCTTTACTTTCATAGATGACATGTCTTCAGATACCGAAACTTTTCTGTTTGCTGAATAAATAAATGCTAAAATAAAAATGTATAAAATAAAATAAAAATCAGTAATTGAACAAAAACTGTGATTTTAATAAGATATTTTGAACCAGTCATGGATGAATGGAAATAAAAAAAATATATATAAAAAAATGTATAAATATAACTTAGTTAAGGGCAACATTATTTGAATCCAGTTACTATCTTAAATAAATGGGAAGACTCTATTAATATGATAATTCCATGGTAAGATGTATTTAATATCATCCATAAACTACCCAAGATGTATCTAAACGTATCATACAACTACAGATATTATTAAAAAAAATTACCCACTAAAACTTAATTATCTCATTCACTGTATATGCTGTTTTAGTGGTGCTGCAATTACTTTTGAGCTGTAAAATCCTTATCATTATTATTATTATTATTTTCTGACAATTTCTGACTGTTTTTTGGTTAATCTATTGGTTGTGTCTGTTTGTTTTCATTTCGTTTTTTAATTTTTATTTTGTAGTTTTCTTGTTTTTTGGTTGTATTTTGTTCCTTTTTCCTTGATTTCTTAATTATATATATGTTGTTTTACTCTATGATATAATGTTTGCTTGTATGGACCCGAGAGTAGTTGCTACCTTGGAGGTGACTAATGGGGATCCAAATAAATGAATAAATAAAGAAATAAATAAATAAATGAATAAATAAATAAATAAAAGATGCTATCTATTTAGGGTCTTGAGCAAACTTGTTTGTGTATGTTTTGCACTAATGGAGGGGAATCATTTTTGCATCTCATGTGGTATTGTCCTGTTGTCGCCTCATTTTGGGATAAAGCCCAAAGGTGGATAATGATCTACAATAACAAATATACAATCAACTTCCAGTCAGTAATTTTAGGGGACTTAAGTAGCAGCAAATCGGAGATCAGTGACATTGTAAATTTGTTTGGCAAAGCTTTTATAACAAAACTGGTCAGAATTTAAAACTTATCTTTAAACACACTGGGTGACAGAAAGATCAGCATCTAAAAGAAAACTAGAGACCTTGAAATTCCTCAAGGGAAGGAAACAACTCAGCTTTTGGGAAGGATGGGAATAGACAAAGAGAGAAAGGGGTGTGTGTGGGATAGGCAGAGTGGATCTGTGCCCCACCCCCTCAAGAAAGATTTTTTGAATTATAACAGTGATCAGCATCCCTCCACCACACCTCTCACCATAGCACAATGAGCATGCTTAATGTGTCAAACCCTGCGGTCGAGGAGACAACAGCCCGGCTGTGGAAGAAGGCCGGCGGCAGCTGACTGGCAGGATCGGTGTCTGAAGTCAGCTGCCGAGCAAACGGGCACCCCCTATGAATGACAGCTATTCACCTCCCCCCCCTTGAACATCACATGAGCGCTGACTCCTACTCAGCAGAGCGCAACACAATATCTCACTGTGTCTTCTGATACAGTAGAGCCTGGTGGGGAGTGAGGGAGGGAGACAGAGATAACCTGCACTGTGACCTTGAGGACACAGATCGTCCACTGGTGACAGGAGGCGAGGGGAGTAGAGTTACCTGACCTGACACACCACAGTGTGATGGTGCAGCTACAGCAGCTAATTTTGGGTCTAACCTCAGAGAAAATAAAGTTCTGTGTCATGCAGCAGCAGCAGCAGCAAGTAGGGCAGCACCAGCCACTGGCATGATGTGCTTTCTTTACCCTTCTTTAACCTTCACTCCCGTCTCCCACTGCTGCTTGTTCATCTGTTATGAAAACAGACGACGCCGGGGGTCCACTCCTCCTCTCTGTTACGTCAGATGTGCTTTGCTCAGGGCGCACACACATATGATGTGCGCAAAATGTAACCTTTACCTCACATCCCTTTTGTTTCTGCACTTCTAGCTCAGAAATCAAGCTCAGCCTCCCCCTCTTGCTGTGTTTCCTGACGCCAGCGTCAGACGGAGAAATGAGAAAATGACCCAATTACAGTGCAAAGATAACCTGCACTGGGAGGGCTGGTGGAGTGGGAGCAGAGGAGATGATGATGGGAGAGAGGAGAGGGAGGAGCGGGGTCAGTGTTTAGACAGTAAAAGGAGCTGCAGTGACATCATCAGAGCTGGACTTCTTGTCATCACAAAAAGAAGAAACAGATCAAACTGATTAAGAAATGTGTTGTGTTTAGGTAACCTGCAGCTGCTCCCTTCTCCCTGTTAGAATACACACACACACACACACACACACACACACACACACACAAGTGAGGCTCTGAAAGTGAGAACAGTGACATCCCTCGGTGACAGCGGTGCCGGTTGGCACATGGCTGGATGCTGCAGAAGATGCCTGGCTGCTGCAGTGTCTCTGTTAGCCAGCCTGTCCTGCTGCCACCGACTCAAAGGCAGCAACTCTGATGCTGTGCAACGACGCGGTATGCAGAGTGTTGCATAATAAAGAAGCCATGCTGGTAAACAAGAAGGGCAAGGACCACATCCTCCCACTGCAACGAGGCTTCACAGCTGCAGTGGACGCCGTCGTAGCATGTCGCTAACATACTTGCAGGAATGTCTTCTGACAGGCAGCTTGAGGAACAACATGTGCTCCGGTGGCCTGGCACATGCGCATACAGATACAGTACATACAACACACACTCTGTGAATACACTGCATCAAGCTCAGTCACCCCTATGGAGGAAACAAACACACACCTTGGTTGCAATAACAAAAAGTGTGGAAAGACATCCTGCCTGATCCTGTTGAGAAACTCTGCCTATTGCATCCATGAATTCCTGAGATGTAACACACACACACATACGCACACTCAGTAAATGTCAAGCTGACAGCAGTCTACTCACAAGTGGCTTCTGAAAAGGCAGATATCCTCTTTTCTCATCTGTCACAGGGACTTGTTACACACTGCTCTCCTCGTCCTCCTGTCTTTTACCGGCAGACTAGAAAGCGAGAGTGGCTGAAGACAGAAAGATCTGCAGTGCTGGAACTCTGTCAGTATGCTAATGCCGGGATCTGCTCTGCCTCCCTCTCTGTTTCTCTCTCCTCCCTCCCTCATAGTTTCCTCCAAGGTCAGTGGGTAGTATTGCCTATTTGACTCCTCCCTTAGCGGACAAGTGCTTTCCCCCCCTCCTGCACCCTCCTACAGCCTTGGACACCCGGGCAGTAATTACCGTCATGATCCAGATTAACTCCTGGGTGTGCTCTTGTTGTGCTACGCTGGGCCGGGCTGGACAACACACAGACAGGATTACTGTGTGTGTGTGTGTGTGGGGGGGGGGGGGGAGAAGGTTTTAGACCCCACAAGGAGGGCCAGGGGCAGCCAGACAGGATGGGATGGGACAGTCTTAAACCCTGCTGGAGACAAGAGGGAGACAGAAAAGGACACTGAGCTAACAGCGTGACTTTAACAGCAAAAAATGCATCTACAAGGACAGAAACTTTCAAGTGTTTCAGCGCTGGGAAAACACTTTAGGAATGCAGAACACGATAAATCAATGGAATGTAGATTATAAATAGTAGAAGAAAGCCTTAAACTGACTGTGAGTTTACACCAATCTTCATCCCAAAACACATGAAAAGTACGCTGAAGGTCATCTCTAGCTGCAGCAGTGCTCTCCTCTCTGCATGGTCACAACAAGCGCCGGAGTCTCACAGAGTCATGGAAGAAACCAGACTTAAATAGTTTAGGACTGGCAGGAGATCAGGCTCAAGGAGACACAGCTGCAGCAGGAAGTGCTCGCCTGAATAGTCAACAATTCTCGCCATTTAAGTGTTCTCTGATTCAAGTGCTACATTAACACAATCAGGCTGTGAAAAGATCAATGTGGTGACTATCTGAGTGAGCGCACTGGCTGATACTTGCTGTAGAACGAGCTCAGGAGCATTGCTGACTGTTTAGCTGCTTCACTCAGTGGCTTTGGATCCTGTGATGGGATTAGAGGGGAGAAGCGTCTGATGGGATGAGACAGAACTCAATGTATGCGCAGGAAGTACTCCTTCACCACAAGGGAACTGTGAATCCACAATAAGATTTGTAGATAATCACACTGATTGACACCAAAGTGACATCAGTTTGGGGAAAATGCTGCTTTGTCCCAGTAACTGAGCAAATTTTACTACTGTGCACATGCTGGTTTCCATTCCCATTGTATTGCTTTGTGTTATTGCCTTCCAAGTGTTTCTACTTTCGTTGAAACAGAATAAATCAAACCCTGTGTAAACCAGAAAACATCAAAAATCAACATGGTCTCACTCATCCTCCACAGACACTGCTTCACCAGTAATTAGACAGTGCCTGATCACACATATTCCCCTTCATTCTTTCCTGACAAGTTCACAATTCCTCCATTGACAGTGAAGAGCACATGAAACAACCTCTTTTCAAAGACTCCCAGAAACATCCTAGGGTGTTGGTTACATCATCCACAGACAAAGGAGCAGTCTTTGTTGTGATCAGAGCAGGGTTGGTTTTCTTGTAATGTGCTGACACCCTGTGGTTGTTTGTGGTAAGTACAACACCTGCAGGAGAGCTTTGATACTGAATGAATGAGATGATATATGATGGTATTTGTATATGTTTTGGCTCCTCAACTCCAAATCAAAATGTACCTCACCATTCCTATGGATTTTAATACAATATACGGCTGCCACTGTGGGTGCAAATGTAATGGTGATAATGTGTGACAACTCAAAAGACGATTCAAAGAAGTTTCACACAGTGTGTCGACACATCATATCGTACTCACTTAAAATTCGAGGACAAGTCAGGTGACAGTTTCTTTTGTATTTCAAGACTTTTGGAACAGCATGCGAAAAAACAAACAAAAGAAACACAATAATTAAAACATGCAACATCAATAAATCATAAAGTTGGGCCAGCCAACGCATCATTTTCCCAAAATACAAGATGCAGAAATAGATGAGAAAAACAACACACCAAAAAAATAAGAATTATAAAAAGGAGCTAAACACAGGTGGATGGGCTGTTTTTACAGTACATGACCAGCAGATGGAGGCATACAGTGTGACATTGGTAACACCCAACATGACCGTAAGAGGTGAAATGGAAAACCAGACAGTAACCCGTCTCCCTGCATATCAAAGGAGACTCTATACAATGACAATGTTTGATTAGCTGGATTAAATTTCATCATGTTGTGATGTAGCATCTTTAATAGGACAAAATATTATAATTTCGGCTGGTAATCACAACCTTCGATACCATGTGATGGAATGACGGTAAAACAGGACAAACAGAGAGCTTCTGTCGTCTGTTCAGGTGAGTCCAAAAGGCACGTCACATTGCAAACAAAACAAGATGGGAGGGATGCTCGCTCTGGTAACATCTGTACAATACTTCTACTCACTGCCAAAAGGTTTATAACCCACCAAATAATACTGGTGCACACATATTCTCAAGTCCTGCTTTTAAAATCCATAATTTTCCTTTTTATTTCATTTAAATAAAATATCACTTCAGGCCCCGAAACATCACAACATGTCGGGGGGAGGGTCATGTCAAAAAAAAAGGTAACCTAGATTTCCAACCAGTATGATGACTAAAAGAGACATTTCAGGTGAACAAAATTACATGAGGCAAGATAAATCCAAAGAAAGCACATTAACATGACCGGTTGAAGTAAACCATAAATGACGACACAAATACAGTACACATTTTGTCTTCCTGTTCTACCAAAAAAAGGCAAAGTAAAAACAGAATACTGCATGAAACAGAGATGGTGCTTCAGTACATAGTTAATACAGGTTAATGTTAAAAAAAGAATACTGGTCTCTGTGACTTTCCCTCATTCAACAGTTCAATCAAACTCTCTCATCGCTGATTTGTCTGCACGTGAATCTCTTTCTAAATGACCTGAGCTGTACCAAGTAGTCTGCATACAGTGCATCGAACTACACCCTAATACAATACACCCTAATTGTCAAGTACATACTGAAAGTCTTCATCCGTGACTTGTAACACACATGTGTAACGCCGGCCTCTGAAGTCATGTTTGAAGATTAGTGTGATTTTCAAGGCCATTCTTTTAGGTCCGTCTAGCCGCCTGTCAGCTACTAAACATGAATTAAAAACACGGGACATGAACGCAAGTTGTCCACAAAAAACAAGCATGTACTGTAAGTCACAAAGGATCAACTCAGACTAAGTGTGCTACTGCAGTAAGTACGTAAATACTAGGTAGTGTTAACAAGTGTTATCAGTCTGTATGGATGGCCCTTTGCGCCTACTGTCTGTGAGCTATGACCTTACTGTAGGCTCGTACAGTAGATTGGGTCGGGTGAACTACATCACAGTGTCAAGGCATAGCATGGCTCATCATGGCAGAAAACATGAAGTAGCACCTGATGGTGATAAAGAGGTTAAGGGCCTGCATCAGAAAACAACAAACACCTGTATGGTAGTCGGTAAAAAATTAAAGGAAATGTCTTAAAATGACATGTCTTAGGGAGTATACTTGTTCAGTGAAGGCAGCATGAGAAGGAAAACATGACACAGAATACTGAGTCTGAAGAAATGCAGCAAAATCTCAAATAAGTCCAGGATGTGGATCCACAGTGGCCAGGACTTGGCGTGATCACACCCTGATCCACAATGAAGTGCAGGACAGACGCATGGGCAGGACGAGTCCAGACATGTCATCTCAGTTTCAAGGTCCGACATATACTGCTCATATTGTTCTTCATTTTATAACACTGTCTCTGATCGGACATACTGCAGTTGATCTGATTCTGTACTTGGAGCTGTATCAACCATCCTGTCGTTCAGTCCTGCAGCTTCCTCTCAGTTAGAAATCTCCATCAGCCACCTCTTCTCTTCAGTTTAGCAGGACCATCTCTCTGCTGTACACCCTCGGGGGACTTCCATGGGAAGTATTGTCAGATTAGGCGAAGCAGGCAGGCAGGGTCAGTGGCATGACTGGTTCGAGCTACGGCCTGGGGGCCCGGGGCTTCAGCTGTGGTAGCTGGGCACAGCTGCCTGTTTCTGGGAGAGACGCAACAGCTCCTCCCTGATGGCCTTGATCAGGGAGGCGGAGGAGTGGGTCGGAGGAGATGTGTCCAGGGGCGGTGGGGCTGACAGATAGCCCACCCCCGGGGTCTCTAGGTGGACAGGGGGTGCTGAAGGCTCCCTGATACCACTCCTGGGCGTCTGGAAGATAGAGGAGGACGAGTAGTCAGGACAGTCCAGGAACTGAAGGCAGAGAGGAAGGACAAACAAGAGGAGACGGAGGAGGAGACAAAAGGTGAAGAAAAAAGAGGAAAAATATCAAGTGACAGAACTAGAGTGTGAGAGAAGAAGAGAACTAGCATAGATTTTCAGAGCAGCGCAACACTATGAGACAACTAAACATGCACTGTATAGCAGTGGCTCCCAAGTGTTGGGTCGCAGTCCAAAAGTGGGTCGCGAGTCCATTCTGAATGGATGGCAAGTGACTCACCAAGAAACACTTTTTATCTTAAAGTACAGTGAATTTCCGGCACAGAGCTTTTATTTTGAAGTGCTGTTTCCTGCTGTAGAGTGAGTGACTAACATACAGCTATCTAACAGAGACAGCAAACTAGCTGGATGACATGACCAAACGCAAATATGACACTGAATATATCAAACTGTGTGGACCTTGAACTAATGACAAAGGAGTTAGTGAAATTATCAGTGTCTTCCGAGAGCTGATGGTAACTGAAGTGCACTGACAGACTGGGATATTAAATCTCAAATATGTTTTGTCTTTATCACATTTAAATTCCTTGCCTGAAGTTCTGAGGAATGCCTCTGCACCTCGCTGGTCAGGACCTGTAGCTCCAGGTCAGAAAAGTTTTTCCTACTGTGTTCCTGGTGTAAAGGCAATGTTTATACTTTGCCACATGGATAATTGCAATCTTACGCAAAAAAAAAAGACAAATTGAACTCCGCTGCACAACTTAATGGCTGTGTATGCACTGTAATATCATAGGTGCAATATCTTTTATCGGGCAGACAAGTGATTCGCAGTTCATGGTACTATCAGTGGCAACAATCT